ATTTATGTTTTTCACAGAATGATAAAATGTAAATGTTTATTTCTATAAATTGCTTGTTTGGAAATATTTTGATGGTGAGTTTATATATGGACTGATTTGTTTGTTCTCTTTAACAACAATTTTCATTTTATGGTAGAACTCGAAGATAACTTAGACATTATATTTTCTCTTGCACTTTAAGGTAACTAGGTTTTCAAAAGTGAATTATCTTGCAAGAGAGTTATGATATTAGATTTATTCCATATTCCCTGGTCTGTGTGAAATTCTACCTAAGGTCATATATTAATTTGCTAAGGTTCCCAGATTACATGTATAAAACATCTATTGGGAGACTTGTAAATGTTTTAATTGGTTTTATCAGGTAAGGTATCAAATCCCTTGATATGCAATCTGGATATAAGAGACCAGTTGAACTAATGAACAAAAATTGGTGAATATTACGTTGATGGGAATAGAAATAGAAAATAAATCCCATTGTCAATTCGCTCCACTTATTTTAGTAGATCCATTATAGATACCAATGAATAGAATAACATGCAGGTCTTGAATTAGTATGCAAAATAGATTGATAATGATAAAAAGTACTTACCAAGTCTCTGAATAAACATATCTGACATAAATACTGTAAATTATATAGAACTGCAATGAAATCAGATACTTTATTGAAAAATGATTGAGAAAATTAAGAAAAAGCATGGGCAGAGGGACTTTTTATCAGATCCAGTGCAGATATGGCACATTTTACATTATATCACATAACTCTCTCTTGGGACCTCTATCCATCACCACAATCTGATCCTGAACATAATATGATTGCATGATGATCAAATAAAAGTACAGATTGTAATATCTATTTCCTCATTTGAAAAACTGAGGTTCAAATTGTTTGATGGATTACACTATTTTACACTTTTTCATGCATGCATGTTCTCTCAATTTCCGTGACCAAATTGTAAAAAATACTTATTTTTTGAAATGTAAAATTTTCCAAGGGAATCCAATGAACTCATCCATATTGTAAAACCATCCATTTGTGAATGCCCATGGAGAACTTATATGTTCTGGAAATCTTGATTTATCAACTACTTGGTTGCATCATTGGTCTCATATGGATATGTACTAAATAGGGAGCATCTCATAAGATCAATACTAGAATATTAACTATTTATAAATCAGGGGGTGAGGGGGGATTATGAGCCTTATACTGAGCTAATCAGAAATTGGGTTGTTTGATTGATTTGCAAATGTTTTCTTTTATTTCATGTTAGAATTATATTTGGCAAACCTGAAAAATACTATCATAAACAAACACCTTTAAACATAACTTATATCAGACAGCTAAATAACATGATGTTCAATCATATAAATGAGAGATTCAAATGTATTGAAATATGAAGATTATAAACCATAATTGCACCATTCTTAACAGAGAAATTTGCCAAAGCCAAAAAGCCCATCATCATAACAAATGATCCTCACAACTCTGAATATTACATAACATTAGGACCTCTTCCTCTGTCATTCCGATAGATTTAGGGTTGTATCACTATTATATTGGGGTATCTGTAATTAGTATCCTATTATACAATACAATATTTAATATTTATATAACACATTTATCTGTTTATTTCCATAGCATGGGATTCTCCCAAGAGAGAGTAATTAACACAACCATAATTACCAACCTTACAAAAAAGAAATTATACAAGAATTGTAAAAATTCACCATTAAAAAGAGTATAATTGACCCTCTTATGGTTTTATATATAATACAGATTGCATTTACATACTAGTTTAACCCAGAATGATTGGTTATCTCATTTCCAGTGTATTATTTCACTATACATGGATGGTTTTGATATAAGGGCCACATGATTATGGGCTTATGGCACACTTACTGGCCTGTACCATCATACATTGCTTATCTTAATCAAGTCAGAATCTTATGGGGGTGGGGTGGTTTATTTCATTTTACATAATTCTGACACGATTATCTGTTCCATCACTTTCTTGCCAAATGAGGCTCAAGATGTGGACCACATTTATATAATAGAACCAGACTCCCTTCATAGACAGATTTACCACATGAGCTGAATTCAGGCAGATTTATTTTATTATGTTTTCATACAATATAGTTCTAAACTGGTATGTATTGATTGAGCAACTAATGAGTACTATAATCTACATGTATGTCAGTCTGCAAAATATATCGAAATTACTAGACATATACAATGTATCATAATCAGTCAGTGTATCTGTTTCATATACTTTCTCCCATTCTCCCATTGGAAGTCATGTTAAATTGTACTGCATTTATAGATAAATGAGACAAGAACTGATGTTTCCTTGGTAGAATATAAGTTGTTATGACAAATCCAATGGATAAATCACATTTCTATTTATATTCATTTGCGGTATAAAAATCCGGATTGATTTGTGTAGATTTGATGGGTCTATGGTAAACATAGGGCTATACCTGTCATCATTAAATAAAACTAGCCGATCATTAATTATATGAGTCAGGCTTGGTGCCAGTTAATCCTCACAAGCTTACCGTTAATTTTTAATGTCAGAATATGATGAACGTGTCATCTATAAATGGAAAATGATGTCTACCAGCAGTTCAAATGTCTGTCTGCTCATCCTAATTCATGCTTTTTCTGAGTTAAATTTGAATAAAGCGTCAGTTTTTCTTACATTTCTACATAATTGAGAGTATTACCTACATGCTTATTTATGATTTCCCTCGTTAATTTCACTATTTTTCACTTTAATTTGCATTTGAATATATACCTTTGAGATTTCATTTTGAGGTTTCCCAGTTGATGCCCATTAGAAAATCATACCTGGCTCATAACATGCGTTTTTAATTTTGAACCTGAGGTGCTAAATTATGAATCTGTCTTGTCAATACTGTTAAAAACAGCAGACTCACTGCTTGACTGGTGTCAGGGTTAGTCACTTATTATATAATTTACTAGATGATTTATGTAGGTTCAGTTACCTGTTTTCAAACTTGTTGTTTATCTGTGACATAACTACCTCCCCCCAAAAAAAATCTAAAAAAGTTTTTTAGTCAAAATTATATTTTTTATATTTTAACAAAATTCTTAAGTTTTCAGTTTAAAGTTCCCAGTTAAAGTCCCCTGAAAAGCTTTAACTGTGAACATAGTCCAACTAAAACTTGTAATCTCCAACTCCATATTCTGTATTCACCATCATACCATATGTTGCATCTGATTGCGTGTAATGATGTGATTGATCATATCAACATGCAAGACTATTACATTGCATTATAACATGTATTACATTAGTCTATGATATTACGCTTATTGTCTGTAGGAGAAGCTGAAAATAGACAATTCCTTTGACTTTATATATTGAAAACATGGGATCCCGAATGGGCGCATGGGTGAATTGTAGAAATAATGTTGATTATTTGGTTCATTTCATCATATAATATCAATTTTTTCCCTCCCAGCATGTGAATTCATGCAGTGTATTAAATAGAATGGTAATGGCATAATGTTTGCTCAATGGTTTCTTTCTATAGAAATGGTACTGTATTATTCAATAGATAGGCAAGTATATCCAGGATTTAATAGCTGACACTAATTACAAGCAATCTGATTGACTTATACAGCTAAATTACTCATCCTATATCTTCCAATATTACATAAGGCTAAATAGCTCAAGTCAGAAAACCAATTTCAATATTAGAAACTTGTTAGAGTCAAAGTGATGATTCAAAGTGTTATGGGAAAACTCTGAGTACCATTTGGAAAATCTCAAGTTTATTTCTATTTTATTATAAAGATTAGAGATAATTCTTTAATATACCCTATATCTCATCCCTTCAAAATATATAATTTGCAAATAACTATGCTACAATTTTTGCAAATGAGAATTATAAGTTAATTAGTTCATATTCAAACTTCCATTAAGCCACCCATAAAATCCATGTGAGATTATCATGATCTGTGAAAACTATCTATATTACTAACTATTAGTTAGGCAATGCAAGCTGCTACAATTCAGGGTAGGAGATATAATGTAAATATTTTCCATATAAATTGTGTTTATCTTTGAAACAGCCTCTGAGGAGAATTCTGATCTAAATATTTATGAACAATTTCAAATAATGACTTTTTAGGCCATAAAATAGAAAAATGATGATTAGTTTTTGTATTGAACTTAGCATTAGCATCAGTCATTCTGAATTCTTGCTTATTTATGAGTTGTTCTTTGTAGTAACTAATGAGAAATGTTTATTGTTCAGGTGTTTGTTGTATGTAGGGCCGTGCCATTCGACCGGAATCGGTCCGAACCGCGGACTTTTGTTAAAATACCGGAATTCGGAATTTTAATATCATGTTCCGAAGGGTTTCGGAACAATATCGGACCCTTACCTTAGTACTTGCTTTGAATCGTTAATATCCGTGACCATTGTTCCTCCAGTGATGTTTTCCTTCAAACTACATCCAATTTGCATGTGTATTACTCGCATAAACAAAATAAATAGCGGAGAAATCAACAGAAATCAAGTTGATTTCGTTTCAAAACTTTTTCAATTACGCATGCGCATTATGGTCAGAGCAGCCGGAAGTGAAAACAAGTAGAAAAAAGATCGAATTTTCTCTCTTTTTACAGATTTTAGAGTCTATTTCTTTCGTAAAAACATTCAAACTTGCTTGACAGGAAAGGTAAGTGTTAACCTGACAAACTTGGACGACGATATCGTCATGATCGCCGTCGAACTCACTCATACATAATTATTTTCATTTGTGAACCAAAAGGGGTTCCGAAAGTTCCGATTCCGTGAGACCAAGTTCCGGTTCCGATTCCGAACCGTCCGAACCGGTTCCGGCACAGCCCTAGTTGTATGGTGTTCACTGGTCAAGTGTTTATATTTCAAACAACATAAAACATTTTCAGAGTGTGTATCATTCAAGTCTTCATTTACTGAAAATATATAATTAGCAAGATCTAGAGTCTTAATAAGCCTAAATGCATCATGACAAATAAAAACATATTTATGGTTATATTTCCTCTGATAGGCACCTTAACAGTAGTTTGATTTTATCTTCTTTAAAAGAGAGCTTCATCTACAAAAGTACAAAGTAGGTGTTTTGCATAGGAGATGAGATATTCAATGTTGTTGTCCCTGATAACTTATGAACTGTGGATGTTGCTATCACCTATTGCAGGTGACATTGTTTTGTTATTTCAAGTTTCAAGAGTTCTGATACAGTTTTTTGTAATCAGTTATTTTTTCAAGTACTTCCTCATTCTATGTAGTAATATATTGTTTATATTGTTTATGTGCATCACCACAACCTTCTTTTGTTTTAATGTGAAGAAAAGTAAACCTAGTTTAGCTACGAGCCTCTGTGACCCCCCCCCCTCCCCTCTACTTGACTAAGCACATTTTCACACAGACTACTGTCCCTATGCTATACGAGCTGATCTGGCATCAAATCTTCTATTCCCACCTTTTTCTACTTAACCCCGATTTGGGTATATAAGGGGTAGGATATAAGGTTATCAGGGGTTGCAACAAGACTTGATCTTAATAAACATCTATTTCTTAGGTTTTGTAAAAAGTTTCCTAATACCTATTTACAGTGAATGTTTTTAGTAGATCATAAGTTGTTCCCTAAAACAGGTTTTACAGTACTTGATTTGAAGTATATCTATTTTACTGTCCATGTGATGATCATGGCCAAAATGATCACAGATGTCACTGAAATAACAAGTCCAAGCAGAATCTTGTGGATATTCTTGTCTATAAAGTCGGCAGTTTTTGCAACTTTGTCTGGCTCTCTCAGAAATGATGCAATGCGTGGAAACTTAGTCTCGTGTGACTTTATCCCTGCCTCCTCAATTTGAAGCTGGTTGTCTTGATTATTGTCGCTTCTATTTTCCTCTGCCTCTGCTGTTTCATCTTGGTTTCCATCTTTAGCTTTCAGTTTTGCCTGAAATACAAAAATTTAGAACATGGAAAGAGTCAGTGGTTTCTCTAATGTTTACCCACTTTCTAAATGAGAAGAATTTTGAAAATGTTTTTACCATTTAAGGAGAAGCTAAAAATGAGATTTTTGCACCCACTTGAGAAATAATCCTGGAAAGAACAATTGACGTTAATTTAAAAATATATTTAATGCTGTTTCTGATCTTTCAAGAGAAATATGATATCACAGGATCTTACCAAAAGTGATGCTATACGTGGAAACTTAGACGCATATGACTTAACCCCCGACTCATCAGTTTGAAGTTGTTCCCGCTCATTGTCACTTTTAAATGTATTTTTTTCTTCCTCAACTATTTCATCCTCATTGACATCATTGACTTTCTCTACTTCCTCTGCATGTTTCTCACTATCTTCTTGAAAGCTCCAGTTTACATATATATTTGGTTCATCAATCTTTTCCTCACTTTGATGAGTTTTATCATTATGTGTATTGATTGAGTCATTGTGAATAATAAGTTTTGTATACATTGCATCGTCCTGTTTTTCTACTATAACGGCTTCGTAAAGATCATCATCCACTGGAGCCTCAATTTCAGAATCTTCCTTTGTCTCGGTTTGTTCAGCTGGAATTTCGTAGAAATCATCTGTTTGGGGTTCATCTTTTTTTGAAACTATCTTTGTCTGGGTTTGTTCTGCTGAATTTTCATAAACATCATCTATGGGGGCGTCATTTTGTTGAACTACCTTTGTCTGGGTTTGTTCTGCTGAATTTTCATAAACATCATCTATGGGGGCGTCATTTTGTTGAACTACCTTTGTCTGAGTTTGTTCTGCTGGATTTTCATAAACATCATCTATGGGGGCATCATTTTGTTGAACTACCTTTGTCTGAGTTTGTTCTGCTGGATTTTCATAAACATCATCTGTAGGGATGTCATTTTGTTGAACTACCTTTGTCTGATTTGGGTGAGCTTGAATTTCATATACATTAGCGTAAGTCTGAGATTTTGCGTTGTTATCTATGACATCACCACTGGGATCACTTTCTACGTTCTTACCGATTTCTTTGTTGGATAAATCAGGCCTTGTTACATCAGCATTTTCTTGTTTCATTGATGAAACAGTACTGTTAACATTTTCTGACATTTTATTTCTGAAATTATCTTTCTCAATAGCTTCAATGTGAAAACTATCAGACATATTTTTTCTTGTATTTTCACCAAAAAGTCTTTCCTTTAGAACATCTTTGAATTTATTGTTTCCAGGTAGATTGTTTTCGTGAAGTCCAATATCTTGTATCTCAGGTTTTTGCATCATCTATTGTTTCAAAAGTCAGTATGTGCAATGTGGATATAGTACTTACACGTTCCCTATTGAAGTGTTGTTGATAAAGAATATCTATGTGGTCGTGTAGGAGGTCTGGGTCAAAAGCATTGACTTTTGACATATTAATGTTATCTTCAACAAGGACCCCATCAAATGCCTAAGCTTTCTTGAAAAAGTTAAAAGACTGAACAATTACAAAGAAGAAAAGTATATAATCACACACAAAAAACAAATATGTATTGTTTATTTTTTTAAATGGATCATTTTTGCAAAGTTCTATACCCTATCAGTGTAGTCTAAATTATATATTATATAGGGTTACCCAAATATGCAACCCTTTAATTTCGAAATAATACAATCCAAATGAATATAATAACATTAAATGATTCAAAAGAGATTAAATCATAAGCGGTTGATGAAAAAATATGATAAAACTTCTAATTTCACGAATTAATCATTTTAATTAATGTTTGTTCATTCTTTAAGAACAGGGGTTCCTTCACTTCATCTTCTTGGTGTTTATTCTTTAAGAACAGGTGTTTCACTTCATCTTCTTGGTGTTCATTCTTAAAGAATAGGTGTTCCTTTAGTTCATCTTATTGGTGTTCATTCTTAAAGAATAGGTGTTCTTTCACTTCATCTTCTTGGTGTTTATTCTTTAAGAACAGGTGTTTCACTTCATCTTCTTGGTGTTTATTCTTTAAGAACAGGTGTTTCACTTCATCTTCTAGGTGTTCATTCTTTAAGATCAGATGTTCCTTTACTTCATCTTCTTGGTGTTCATTCTTAAAGAATAGGTGTTCTTTCACTTCATCTTCTAGGTGTTCATTCTTTAAGATCAGGTGTTCCTTTACTTCATCTTCTTGGTGTTCATTCTTAAAGAATAGGTGTTCTTTCACTTCATCTTCTAGGTGTTTATTCTTTAAGAACAGGTGTTTCCTTCAATTCATCTTCTAGGTGTTCCTTCTTTAAGAACAGGTGTACCTTCACTTCATCTTCTAGGTGTTTATTCTTTAAGAACAGGTGTTTCCTTCAATTCATCTTCTAGGTGTTCATTCTTTAAGAACAGGTGTTCATTCACTTCATCTTCAAGGTGTTCATTCTTTAAGAAAAGGTGTTTCACTTCATCTTCTTGGTGTTCATTCTTAAAGAATAGGTGTTCTTTTAGTTCATCTTATTGGTGTTCATTCTTAAAGAATAGGTGTTCTTTCACTTCATCTTCTAGGTGTTTATTCTTTAAGAACAGGTGTTTCCTTCAATTCATCTTCTATGTGTTCATTCTTTAAGAACAGGTGTTCTTTCACTTCATCTTCTATGTGTTCATTATTTATAATGAAGCATTCATTCTAAAAAACTAAATCTGGTTTGGTCAGCTTTAATGCTACCTTATCATGTTGATTTAATGCTGACACTTACTGACTTCAACTAGCTGGTTCACAACATAACCCCTACCCCCATTTGCTGAAAGAACTACTGCCCTGATATAGTGCTGGCAGGAATGACTTATATGTCAGCAGAAGAAAGTGGCATGCTATCCCAAAGGTACATTTATACTTATCATGGTAATTTCCATGTTAATTATTTCACTGTTAAATGCATCACCTGTTTGTTAAATAATTAATCTTTATCAAAATGTGGAGGGTAGATTGTGTTTTTGTTAGTTAGTATAAACAACCAAAATTCAACAGACATTAAGCAACATGTAACAAATATTAAGCAACATTTTATGAACATCAAGCAACATTTTACAAACATCAAGCAACATTTTACAAATATGAAGCAACATTTTACAAACATCAAGCAACATGTAACAAACATCAAGCAACATTAACAAACACCAAGCAACATTTTCCAAACATAAAGCAACATGTAAAACAATCTGCATTCAGTAATCAAGATCTTACCTAACATTATCTTCAAAAGAAGATATTTGGTTTCATTTATTGTTATCAGAAAGAAACCATTCATGCTAATAATGAGTGACAGTTTTACTTAGAATGTTGCAACAATTTATTTTACAATTATTTCCCTTATCTTTCAACTTTGACAAATTGGGTAGAAAATTAAAGATAATGATAACTGAATTATGTTAATCAAACATGTAGGTTACATTGAAACTTGGCAATATTTCGTAACAGATGTATTTATGCCATCTCATTTGCCAAGATGGGATTTTTAAAGTTTTGTTCGCTGTAGGTTCACAGTTGTTATTTACCCCTAATTGGAGACCCCTCTGAATAAGACCCCTTGACTTATTAATTGTGACACTTGTGGTCCAAGAATGTCACATAACAGTTTGTTTATTAAACCAAGATCTGTTGAATCTGAAAACAAAGATTCGTAATAATTACAGGCAAATGAAAACTTTGAACGACTTGGGACTATTAAAACGGTGTTTATTTACGCATCTGTAATAACTGGTACTGTGGCAGTCTTACCACATATTCTGTTTTTTCATTGCCAGCATCATGGGGTAATAATAATATGGGGAGATCATGCTGTCCCAAAACCAACAAAATGTCACAATGTGAGCTCAGATCATGGGTTATAATCCCACCTTGAGTGTTTTATATCAAAATTGATTAAATTTTAGTTGAGTGATTTGTGACATTGAATCGTTAAAGCCTCCAAATATTGTCTAATAAACGTCTTTATTTTACGTTGAAGAGGTCTAACTAATAGGATTTAAATGCCATATTTGGGTTTGCAATGTTTGTTCTTGGAATTATTGCCTAAAAAGCTTCCATTGGATTATATTAGGATAATGATAATCCATTTTAAAGCTTTCTGTTGTTTGGTCTCCTTCAGCTGAAAGTCTTATTTGTAACAATACCTTAATAAACCAATCATGTACTTTTAGAATATATCTTCCTAAAAACTATGGTGGAATTTAATCTCTAAGATCAATTTTATTTTTAGCAATATCCAACATAATCAAAAATTGATTACATATGATAACTGAATAACCAAATCACTTAATCCAGTCTGAAATGAAATAATCAAATACGCTTGGTGCCTGCATCTATTTTTACCAAACAATTGAGTTATTCTAAGGCACACAAGAGCAAAAAAATTCAGAGGTTGGGTTATTCTCTAAGACTAAATGTCTACAGCCTTCTCGAAACCATTGAAATCAGTGCCTTTGATTTGGCAATGATAATAGAAATTGCTTCAATGAATTTTCAATGAAATCACATTTAGGATAAATGCTTTAACTGCTGAAGGGTTATAAAAATGAATTGCCTCGAGATTGAAGATGTGGTAAATTCTAGCCTATCGACCAAGCCTTCAAGATTTGCATACTGAACAGTATGAGTCAGAGAATTGTCATACTGTTTGCATTTTCTGGCTTGCTGTTCTTTCCATTTACTTAAAGCTTGTTCAGTATACTTTTACTACCAATCAATTAAACAAACCAAAGATGCATTTTGCGGTGTGGTTTTTTCTATAGTGATATATTTAATTCCATGCAAATCTATGTTCACTGCTTATCCCGTACCTTGATCTTAAAGCACTAATTGGTTTTACTCATTACACAAACAAACCAAACACTCCTATATGTTCCTATACACTTCACATTTGGACACGTTCCCACAGTAACTTGCACTTTTTACATGTTGTCATTATTTAAAGTAACTTCCTCGAATGAGCTCGGTCATCATGAACATTTATGAAGTTCATTAAATGAATTAATGAACATGAAATGGATAGTACTACTTATGTGTAATATATATTTGTTTTATATGTTTTATGTTAAGTATCACTGAGTTTCTAATGAAGGTGATGTTATAAACAAAACTATCAACATAGTTAAACATCATACATGTATACACATTTTTGAGAAAAATGCTGCTAAGGTTATAGCTCAGTGAGGAAAATTTTGAATATAAACTCTGCACATTTTCCTGATAAGATTTCATTTAAGGGTAACTGGTAAGTACCATTATAATTTGCAACAGCACATACTTCTATAAAGTACCAAGTCTTACGCAAACATTAAAAGAGGCCGTATGACATACAAAAGTAGGAGTAAGATAAGTAAAGGGATAAAGAGAGTCATGCTCAACACAATAGGAAAGTAACAATTATATATTTTAAATGTCAGAATACTAGAAAATGACTTTTTAATCTCTGAGATTTCTTGAATGTATCGTCACGTCAGTAATAATAATGTTGATTTTTATCCTGCTGCGTCGTGATGTCTGAGCTCCTACAAAAGAGTAATTAATCTGAAGGTGTTTGAAAGAGTATATGTTACCCACGTTTTCTTTCTAGAATTTCAATGGGCTTTTTTGTTTTCCGTTGTTACATTTTGCACAAACGGAATGTAACTCTTATGTCTGTAATATTTATTCCTCGTGAAATCCTCATTTTACTTCAAGTATTGTGATGTAAATAAGGGGTAGTGGGAAAGGGGGATGGATAACATTAGATAACACAAGAAAATGGTGTATCCCCAGGCCCGTAGCCAGAATTTTCCAAGGGGGGGTTCGTTTTTCTAAAAAATTCTAGGGGGGGTTCACTTTGGCAAATATGGCCAAAAATCACTCAAAAATTAGTCAGAATGGTGAAAAACTGCATGATTTTGAAAGAAATTTTGGCCAGGGGGGGGGGTACGTCTGAACCCCCCGAACCCCCCCTGGCTACGGGCCTGATCCCAGACCAGAACCAAACCCTGAGGCCCAGAGCACTATAGTTGGTAGATGATGCTCTCTTTTAAATAATCAAAACCAAACAATTGCAAAGAATACCAATACAGCTATATATCACTATAACTTGAAAGGAGCATCATTTGTCATGGAACAATACATATTTACATAAACCATCAACTCCCATGGAGTTTTGATGAGCTTCTCTGTCGTCTCGGTATGGCGTAATTCTGGCTAGTTATCTGTAATCAATGCCTTACTATATGTTTTCTGACACTAATGGATGCTCGGACCCTAAGGCCACGTTAAACGAATAATAAAATTATTGTCTATTAGAGCGAATCACTAAATGAAAGCTTTTTCAGATTAGCACTAATCTGCTCATAGGCAATTGCCTTATTGATTTACTAACATATTTAGATAGGATTCAAACAGAATGAGAGTTTATGAATGGAAAATGGTTACAGGAATCAACGGAATATTATTGTTAGTAAAACAACAGAACTCTTCTTCCTGTTAAAATGACGAAAAATGAATTTTAAAATGAGGTATTGTTCAGGTGTCAAGTGAAATTGAAATTCAACTCAGTAATTGAATATTAAAGTGCCCGATAAAGTATAAAATGCGCATGCGTCCAGGTGTTGATAAACTATAAATAGCGAAAACCCAGGGTTTGTCACCACAAGGTAAGCCAGGACGTGTTGAGAGAACAGCTAGTGTTGATATTGAATTTATATGTAGCCAGATAAGTTTCCTTATTGAAATTACATATGGTTATTAGCAATACTTTGTAGGTGCTAAATAATAAAATATTTAGAGTATATATGAGAGAAATTGGTCATTTCGAACCTGTTGAAAAGTTTGTGGCTCTCGGCTACACCGGGGAATTTACTTCCGTGAGTACACACATAAATGTGGGGTTCCCCAAGAGGTACGCGACAAGGTGACCTGGCATCAAATGTGCGACTAAATGCTACTATCGAGAAGATAAAATAACGAATACGACAATAAGTTATTGCATGTGACAATTCCGAGCCTTCATCTCACTGAAGTATTTTGAAGTGAAAATAGGATTTTTGTTTTCATACATGGATTCAGATGAACGTAACTTTATTCTGACAACTAATCAAAACTGAACAAAATTGATTGTACGTAACAGACAATTTATTGTTTTACAATGTTTTGATTGGCTAAACGAATGAAACCAACAAATTATGACATGTAAAATGACAATTTTGAAATTTAAAAGTGACAAACACAACCTCCCTATCCACTCTTTGGGAGCCCTAGTGAATTAGTAATATGTACATGCAGCAGTGGTAGTGTGCAGCTTATTATCACACTACGCTTTGTATTCTAAAGCCTGTTGTTTGTAATAACACTGTTCACTCAACGTATGTTTTGTGTGTGGGCAGTCAACGATAATCATTGTTTTATCCCGGTTATATGACCTCGGCAGTTATAACAAAACCGTACTAAACGAAAAAACGCAAATAAGAGAAAGCTTTCACACACATATAAAAAATGAACTAGTCTAATCCGCCAGTATAAACTCTGTGCTATACGTAGCCGGGTCAGGCGCACACTTTAAGAAGTCAAGCATAGGAACTTTTCACATGTCATTATACTGAATTGATAATTGTGACCTTAAAATTCAATAAAGTTTGGACTCTAATGATAGACATGCTGATTTGTCAAAACCCTCCGGCTGACCACTCGAACTAGGCATTAGCCAACTGTTCGGTGTAGAAAAAATCCAGTATGAACAGGGGCATGACCAATATTCAAAATTATGTGAGGCAAATTTCAATAGGTGAGGCAAACCAAACGATATGTTATACTTCTATAGGACAGAATTCTTACATTTTCTCTGAAACTTGCTAAGACACTTGCCACGCCTGCCTCTAGTCATAGCCAGCTTGAACAGTGTTATTTAGGGTTGTTATTATCCAAGTTTGTTTTAGTTATCAACTGATTTACCATTTTTCAGTAACAACATATTATTGACTTTCAATTTACTTTTATTTGACCCAGTTATTGGTGTAATTCTCCCTATTTGTACGTATTCAATCTAATATTGATCGATCACCCAATCAAACTGATCTATTGAGATTGGGAACATACTTTACAATGCACCGGGTCTACCCAGATCTCAAATCCAAATTACATTTCCACTTGCCCAGTTCACCACTGCTGCAATATATATGATAACAATCTATGATTTGCTGTCTTATCAAGTTTTCCCACCACTGCTTGTCTCTGAGGACTTCGTAATCAATAGGAAAGTGATATGAACAACTTTGAGTCTGTTTTATGGTGTTTTCACTTACCAAACAATTGTATTTCTTCCCCTGGGGGGTAGGTCATCAGTCTACATCATTTGTTTATTTCCCTGAACCTTTTATCATGTTTTTCTATGGTAATATCATTTTTAGAACAGCCTAATGCAACAGTCAAAATATTTACCCACTTTTTGTAACTCTACTAAGCCTGATTTTTAAGTTTATAAGATGTTTTGATCACTGGTGTATTTTTTATTTGTTTTCATTTTGTATTTTGTTTGTAGTAATTAATAGATTTATTGAGCCAGGGGTCAAAATGTTTTCCACTTAACTTATTTTGATTATATTCTATAGACAATGTTCGTGCATGTGTCATAATATTTGACAGGTTTGGGATATTGAATTTATCCTGGGGTGAATAAAATCAATTTGTCCTTAGTCTCCTCATATTGAAAACATACTGAGAATGGATTAAATGCCAATAAGTACATGTATGCATCCCCCATATTGGTTTGGTTACCTGTGTTTTTTCCAGCTTTTACGCAAAATAACAACTGCCCATATGTCGACCGGAGAAATCCAGAGCTGAAAAAATATCGGGGAGCTTTGATGTTTACTGATTCAGGTAGCGGGAGATGATATAAGCCGTAACATATGCTTTGGAATAAATAGAATTTCTAAATACTACAGGTGAATAATACAGTATAAAGCTCCATGGGGGTAGGAATTATTTATAAAATTCTATGTGAAAATAGATCATTTCTATATCTGAAACTGGTGTTGCAATGTATAAAGAATACAATGCACGCAAAATCAATGTCCGATATATAGATTTAGCACACCACGCTGGTTGTGTTTTTCCCCCAATAGTCAGTCTACATTGTGTATCGGTTGTGTCTAGAATGGGTGCGTAAAATATTGAGCAGTAATTTAGCTCCCAGGAACAAGAACAAACCAGTCATTGATTCGAATGAGAGTTATTAAATGATATTAACTGAGGTCCACTGGTAGTTTGGTACATTGCTTGAGATACAGTAAGCAACATTTAAAAACATAACATGGATTTTTAGGATACATCTTTTTTGCGAGTATAGTGAGGATGATGATTTAGGATCAAACATTGGATTAAAGGTGAGTATGATACACATGCATGTAAACTATATATATTTGTGAAAGGAATGTTAGGATGGTCTTGTTTTAAAGTTGAAAATAATGAGAAAAGGAGTGGAATTAGCAAGGAATAAAGTAACTAGATTTGTAGTTTATATCCCAAATCATATAGAAATGACGGAATATAGGAAGTCCTTTAAAACTGTAAAGAGAATTGAAGAAGGATATTGTATAAACAGAAATACTTTCACATAAAAAATCCTTTTTATGAGTGCACAATCAGGAATTCAAAAAATGTTTTTTAAATTCTGGTAGAATAATGTTATATTATTATTTTCTATTGTATGTAGTATAATAGAATATAATGAGATCATTCCATCATTTGTAATTTTACAAACCAAAATAGGAAATCTTTTTCTCAAGGGTTAATATAATAGCAGGCCTATTGATTCGAATTACTAGCGCTTCATAATATTTATACAGCTCCTCGTTCAGCCAGTCAGGAGTTGAGTTGGCAGGAGTATAGTAGTTTAGTTTAGTTAGGCAGAGAACTTACAAGCGGTAAGTTGGAGTAGAGACTGCTCCTGCATGAAATCTGGATTATGCTCTCTCTAGGATTCTACCAGGATTTTAAAGTGGATTATTAAAGTAACATGGATCAATTGAAGAGGTAGGATTTTTGATTTCTCGTGTCAAAACTGAAGTTTATTAATTTTATGAAGTGCTAGCCTGGATTGTGTTTTCTGTTTAGAATTGGGTTTTTGGTCAAGTAAATATTAGATTTGGAGAGTGCCAAGTTATAAAGTCAAGGATTTGAAGATGTTGAAGCCTTATAAATTGCATTAATGGATTAACAACTGGCAGTAATATTGTGACGGAATTGGTTGTGTGTTTTGATTGTGCTGCAGCATATTGCACAATCAGTTGCACAACCAAACCTAATGACCCCATTGGATTAATATATTCTTTTAATGGGTCTGATCCTCAGAAATACTTGTGATTTGAAGCTTAGTTCTGTACTAAATGGCATATTCAGGATAGCAAATGCACCAAGTGATTTTAAAAACAATTATGTCATTATTGCACTCGGATAGTAAGCTGATAGTGGTCAATGTGTTATTGTATCTGAATAAAATCTCAGCTTTATCCAAAGTTATTCTTTAGTATTAATAACTACTTTTGATGTAGGGTTTTATATCCTGTGTATAAAGTACCTTGGTGGTTGAGATATGAAATGTGAAATAAAGAGAAAAGGAAAGGAATTAGCAAGGAATAAAGTAGTCAAGCATGTAGAGAGCACTCATAGTAATACAAGGATACCAGAAAATCAGACTCTTCATAGACATTTTGGAGAGAAATTGAGTGAAACAAATATGACTGGAGTGAGGATTTAAGTAAAGGATTATGATTTGATTTATTCTAGATTTCCTGATATGCAAGTTCAGAAGAAGTAAGCAGGATATGTCTGTTTCAAAGTCATGATGGGGGTGGCCTTTTGGCAAATATATATTGTGAATGTACAATATTCATTTGTTATTATGGGCCATTGTTATGAATGGAAGTCAAAATAGATAAATGAATATGGATAAAAATATGAGCTCCTCTGCTTGAGATAAGTGAGGCAATAGACCCAAGTAAATGAGCAAATGTGAGGTACTTTAGGCAAATGTGAGGCATGTGACCTGCTTTCTATGTTGACCTTCATATTTCAAAAGATTGGGAAATAAATATTTAGGGGAAGGGGGCAGAGGTTTGAAGTAAGGCTACAGCTCTAAACTAGGAGTAAGATATCTAGCGTGCTGGCATACATATGGTCATATGGTTAACTGAATGCACCAATGAACCTTTTATTTTAAATATAGAATGTTTCATTATTGAAAACAAAATATCATCAGCATACATTGGGAGATATTGTGAAAATATACTCTTCTGTTTTCTGGGAGATAAGGCTCACCTGCTGGGCTACCAGGGAATGTAGATACCGTATTAAACATGGATGTCGCCCTTGGTATTAAGTTGGAAGCATGTATTGGATGGGTATAAAAAATGGGCCGCATTTTGATGCTACGTTGCTCTACAGCTACCATATTAGATCTAGATAGTGCCCTTGCTGTGAAATTTGATTTATTTTGTAGATTTTACCTGTGTTAAATATTTACCATATTAGAAAATAGCACCCTTGTTAAAAAATTGGAATTCCTAGATACTATACACATAATTAAATTAGGAAGTCAGTCATAATATTTTGTCTTGTGAAGATTAATTTTTGTTACACCATCTCAAACTGTTACCCCAGTCTATACATTCAGTCATACCTTGGTGTATCAAAATGACATCAATTTGAAGTAGGAAAATATGTCTTATCTATGGCATGGTTCCGCAAAATGATGTTATACTTTAGTGGTGTTCCCCTTACCGGGGTTCATTTGATATGAGTTAATGAATAGAGGGATCTGGAACAGTGTTCTACTTATGGAGGTGTTCCAGTTATAGAGGTGTTCCACTTTACAGGTTTTACTGTCTATATACATGTATAGGCTCCATATTCATAGATTCACAGAAATCTGTAGGCGATTATGAGAAGGTATACGGTAATATTGTTATCTCTGATAATTACATCTTAAAGATATAGCTAGTTCTACTAAGAGAAACATTAGCTGGGTAGATTAAGATGACATTCAGTGAAATAAATATCTTCATCAACATTGTGTAAGAAAACCTAATAATAACACTTCAGTCCTAGCTGTAGCATTCATATGCAAAACACCGACAGATTTATATTAATTAAATTGATTTGAAATGTTGTCTTTAAAAATAATTTCTAACTGCATTGTTCTGATACAAAAGCCTGGCAAGCTTGTGGGGAATTATAATTATAATTTGACACAATGTTTTGCCATTAGGGTATTAAATCCATGACCCCTTGACCCCTGCTAGTGTTGGTGTCTCATTAAATTAGGAAAAAATTTAAAACAAAGACTTGAATAAGGACTTGATTCAAATTGGTGTTGGGCGACACACTTTTGTGGTTTGTTGTTTGACCTATGTACCTTTCTTTGTAAATTGAGAAACATTTAGAACAAATTGATCAAAACACAATGTGGCGCAATCAAGGTAGAACAACCAGTAAAACACAATCATCTGGTTTAAGTTTTATCCTGCAAGGAGGTTTTTTGGTGTCATTTTTCAGCCTAAAATATTTGTCATTAATCTTGTGTATGTTTACATGGTTTTGTTTAAATTAATCTTAGGTTCATGTTTTAAGAAAAAATAGTTCAGTATGACCCCATATAGTGACCCCATAGTGTTTTTTGGGTTACAAGGAATTTCCCATTTACCCTCCTGTGGTAGCTTAAGGTCCAATTTCTGAGCACAAAGGATCAACCAATTGTCACATCTCTCAGCTTTTATGGAGTAAATGTCACTTTGGTAAACCAAGAACTGATTCCCCCTTTAATGTCAATAGTTTCAAATATAATATCCCACTTAAAAATTGATATATTTGTCTAAGGATTTGCCCATATGTGGTTGTAACCTACAAGGCCAGGATGATCTACCAAAGACTTATTATACATATCAGATACTTATTTCAAAAGGGTGGGGGGGGTTCACTTTTTTCACAAATTGAAGACATTTTAGATAATATGATAAACTTTAAACCAGAATGATGCATTTTAATTAAATTAGGTCAAACAAAATCACTTGTTCATTATTTTTTCATTTTTTAATAATCATCGGTAATTTATTAATTAAATCACACAATACATTCAATTCAAGTAGGATGAGTTGTAATTAAATGAGTCTATTTTTTAAATTCATGGTGATATTAAGTTTTGAACAGATGTGTTACAAAAACTGTTATAAATATACCCAGTGAGGGCAGTATGAGGCTAGCAAGTGGCATGTATTGTTGAGATGACAGACACAGGTGGAGCTAGCGTAAACATAGACCTCTGTCCTAACAAAACCTTTGTCTGACCTATCACTAACTTAACTGGTAGGTCATCCTTTAAAATGCAAAATGTCATGGAATAGGGCGAAATTAACAAGGAATGAAGTTATAGGTGTGTATTTAGAACTCTTAATTGTATAGAAATGCAAGAAAACCAGAGCGTTCTTTCAAGTTTAAGAGAGAAATATAAAGAATGGAGAAGTTCAGTGTTATTTTCAGTTATGGGGTCCCCAATTAAAACCCTCATTCCTATGCCTTTAACAACCTTTAGGGAGGGAATTCAGAATAATAACCCCAAATAACTCATAATTAAGTTGTATTCAGTTTCTTTAACGTTGCATTTTTCTACCCGAAGGCCAGTTTTGACAAATCCTTGATGGAGGGATATTCTATTGCACAGCGGGGAGGTGTTTATATGCAGGATGGCTGGGTAGGGATATTATAATTGGTAATCTTTATTCTGGATCACTAGCTAGGGAACTTGGTGAAATGACAACCAGGCAGATGTTGAATTTGGAGAAAGAGACTCTTTCTGTTCGGAATGATTGCCGCAGAGATCATAAACAGATAGGAGAAAAAGGTGCAAAGAGCATGTAAAACTACAGGAGGCGATGTTATAGACAAGAATACAGAAACTCCATTCAAGAACATAAAGATTGAAATCTACTTAAAATCTTAAGTTTATTGAGCTATAAGATGAGTGACAAATGCAGGTACAGTGGCTAGAGGCCAAACAAACAGTTCAAATCAATGACAGATAAAAACCATTTTCTTCAAATTTTTGTAAAATATTCATGAAGAATTAAACAGTGTTTCAGAGTTTGGATTGATGAAAACCAGATATTTAAGTGACTTAGGAATATTTGGCTCAAGAGGGTGACTTTGTGTATGTCTGATGTCTACATAAGGACACAGTGGAACATGATCCTGGATGTAACATAAACTATTGTGTAAGCCAACCTTTGGCTGATGGACATTTTAAAAACAGTTTAAGTTTTCAGGATAACATCAATTTGCAGTTGACTTTTCAAATAGAATTCGGTTAAATGATGTCTACATGCTATCTGTTGAATTATAAGATAGATTAAAAACTTGTACAAAAAACTGCCTTTTAATAAAAACATCATAATCTAATTTTATGGTAACCAAACTGGTGCCAGCGCAAAGAAATAAAATTTAAGGACAAATAAGGACTCGATATACAGGAAATCAAGCTACAATCTAGCTACGTTCAATTATCTTATAAGTGGCTTGGAGTTGGAATGTATTAAAGCGTAAGATTTGATCTTTGAGCGAATAATTCTTGGATGAATTGGATTAATGAATATGTATTGATTAGCTGGACAATGTAAACATACCCCCCCCCCCTACTTGTGTCTGACCAATAAGTAAGAATGTTCTCAAAAAGGTAAGTTCATTATTTTTAATTGATTCAATCCATAATATATATTGATTAGCTAAATATTTTATATTATTTTTGCGCTATTGTGCTTTAGAGACTGACAATATAAACGTTATTAAGTTTTGAATGACGGTAAAGTTTGAAAATATGACGAGCGTATTGATATCTTGCATTAGGGGAGGTCTTATGAAAATATATTGACCTGTTTTGGAAGCTTAGAATATCTTTACTTCAACTTCTGTTTGCGTTACTTTGTTCTGTTAATATAACGTCTCAAAATATTTTCTAAGCCGTAAAGAAAATACATGACACAATGTAACAGTTCATACCTTGGTAAAACAAACACTAGACACGCTATTTCGCTACTTCAGAGTTCTTTTATAATTATATTTCCCCACCTATTTTGGTTCGTAAATGAACATTATTTTTACACTGTAATTAACATGCATTTATATGAGAACTTACAAAAAAACGTCTTAGGAATTTATAAATCTGATGTTATTTTTATGTCAAGTACGTATCATTACCCAGTCACAAAAGCTGTAATAAAGTTGTTGAATTTTGGAGGTAAATATATACAGTGTTTGCGGAACTGGGCGGGGTAGTTGAATGCTCCTACTATACATCTGAAAAGCTACAATATTTTAGTTGACTTAATGCATAATCGATCTTGAATGTGTAAATGCAACGGACAAAGCCTCTTCATTTAAAATTTAAATACCTATTATTGGTCATTATTCTCAGTATTGAGATTTGATATTTAGATATAAAAGAGGACATCCTAGTATTTTATTTTGATCAGTTGCACATTCTTGGTTTAGGAATGACACATGGAGAGAACTATAAGACTTCAGATATGATCTGACAGAGTTCTATGAAGCATATGTAATTGTTTTAAAAAAAGTCGAAGAATTAATTATTTTTGCATAATTACTTTTTAACAGCAATAGAATTAAATCATGAGTCTTGATTACTAATGTGTTTCTGATCATAGATTGAGATAGCAGATGTGCAAAGGTCTATAGGTGGTCTATAGGTGGTCTATAAGAGTCGACGTGACAGCTAACGGAAAGATTAAAAAAGTACATTTATCAATATGAAACAATAGAACAGATAACTACGTTTGATGTTGTTTTTATACAAAACTCATGGGATTAGAAGTTTTCGTGATATCCCATTTGCGACGAGGATAATGTCCAAACTATATTTTATTCATAGCTTGTTAACAGTCTTTAAAATACTTTTTATCAGGTTTTAATGATAGTATGACGATCATATAGCGCTTGTATGTAGCATAATTAAATCGACAATTAACACCCATAGGCAAGTAACAACTTGACTTAAACTAAAAATCAATAGGAAAACCCCTATTAGAGCTACCTTTAAAAGTTAAGATGCTAAATCCAGTGCATGTTTTTTCTAAAATCTTGGATCGCTGTCATTACTATAATGGGTATACCATTGGATGGAATATTGATATTGTATCAAATAAAGTCTGAGACATAGGCTTGGGGGATAATATGATGGATGATTATCTCAATTGAAACCTGTCATGGACTGTCGATTTTAAATTATCCTCTTACAGTGAGTACCTGCCAATTTCAACTCACGAATCCTCGTTAAATTATAGCATACAAAAATCAGACATTCGTCATTTTCTTTCAACATTCTGTTTTGTATTGTGACGAAGTTTCTGAGTCCTTGGGACTATTTTTATGGATTGAGGATAAATATCAGGTACATTTGCGTTAATCGGCTAGCTAACAAATCGTGGCACTGTATATATTGATACTAGCAGGGATACGAGGCAGTCACAAAAGCTCTTGTACAATACGAGAATTTGCTTAGAATGTTTGGTTAGTATATGATATGGGTATATTAGAGTAACATGTGTCACTTTCAAAGGGAACTTATCATAAACCACTGTGATTTGCTGTATCCGAACTGCCCATGCAAAAAACATCAAACATAACTTATTTTTCTTGAGATTGGCTTTATAAAATTCTAAAAAATGCTTTAAGAAAAACTGAATTCACGTTCACATCATACTCTGAAGTATATAATTATCAAAGAAAACCAAGTAGTTTACTAAAAAAATGCCAAAATATAAAATGACCACGGTGAAAATGTGACGTTTTGGATAAGACTGAAGACTGCCTTACCTGAGAATAATTCAAGTGAGGTTTACACTGGTTCAAGTGGCCACTCTCACAAGTTTGGATTAAAATTTGACTTTGATCACTAGCTGGAGTGTTGATAAAGTTAACTTTGATTGTATGTAGATCAGTGTAAAAATGAAGCCACAATTATTAATAAGTGCATTTAAGTTTATTAATAAGTGAATTTTTAGTTTATTGAGATGCAATTTAAAGAGGAGGCTTGTGTATGAAACTGGATGTACTTTGCAAATGAATGCATGGGTTCATGTTTTTAAAAATTAAAAAGGAGTTTTCATATGTTAGACGATATGGATATTTTATCAATTATCAGGTAAATAAGGGACTTGCTACATTAGCTCATAGTAAAAAGTTATTCAGCATCACAGAAAAAATGTTGCATTTGTAATAACGATGTCATGGGTGAATATTGCATCTTCATGTGATGGCTATTATGTAAATGTTCATTGTGGTATAATGAACATATCATGCTACAGTTAAACCTGTCTAAAATGAAAAGCTACTGGATCCAGCCAAAAGTGTTTGTATAACCAGGTGTTCACATTGTAAGGTTTTTAATATGTGAGTCATTGGAAGATGGGACTGGGAAAAAGTGTTCACATCAAGAGGTGTTCCGATTAGAGAGCTGTTCAGATATACAGGTTTTACTGTATATCTGTAACAAATATTTCAATGAAACTGCCACCAAAGTGAGCTAATGATTAATGATACAATTATTATTTCCATAGAATCTTAATATTCTTGATTTATTTCCAGGGCAACAAATAAACTAGCCATGTCTAAGAAGCGAAAGAAACACCAGGGGGCGTTACAGCAGGAGGTGCCATCTTTCCTGACCAACTTTAGTGAGATGATCCGACTCTCACCACCCCCAGCGCCACCTTTGTTACTAAGGGGCTGGTCAGGGAGTTCATCAAACCAAGTGAGCACAAAGGTAAGTCACATTTAGATTATTACTATTATACACCACCGTACAAAAGTTTGACAACCAGTAGTCATTTCTTAGACCACATGTTAAAGCATGTTTTTGTTAAACAATTTTGACATGGTCATCATATTTTTCATCTGATATTTGTAATTGTGGAATGTAAAAATTTTCAAACAGAAATAGACTTTAGCACTGATCTATCCAGTAGAGACTTCAAGTTGTCAAACCTTTAAAGGGGGGGGGGTTATCCTCTTGCATATAGTCTGCTACACCATTATCTGTTTCCCTGTCCTCCGTTGGTTTATTTATTGTAGGGAGAAAACATTGGCTTGATCCAGGACTTACTGTCTAACTTCATATTTCTAAATTCATTTGCTCTGTTTCCTCAAGCTGAATCAAGGGAGAGTAACATAACATAAGGATGGATATCATATTTACCCTTGAATTCAAACACATTTGGATTACCTTCATCTCATCTTTGTTGTTCACATCTGCTTCATCATGTATAGTACCAATCACAATAATACACACTGCAGATGGATGGAGCCAGGCACCACTTGCAAGAATGACTTAACTTAAAGGGCATCTTGAGGGAGGGAGGGGTTGCAAACGTTACTTAGTCTTTCAGTGACATTTATGTTGATTGCAACAAGCCAGGCAGAATCAAGTAGGAGGAGATGTACACGCTGTTTTAAAAAAGCATTAACTACGAAAATAAAGCCGAGATTCATCTCGTGACATTTCTATCAACATTGGAGGTTAACTGGTTATTCCCCCAGCGGGTAATGTTCCTATTATGACATTGTGTTTTAATTGCTCATTAGAGAATGTTGCTTTTTAGTAAAATAGCAATGGATATGGCAGATTTTTGTGGACTTATCCGATTACTCAGTGCTCTTGGGACGCAACATCAGTGCCCCTTGTCAATACACAAATTGCTCAAAATTCACTGACATTTGGCCCAAATGTCAAAACTGATGCCGCTCGGGTACCTAGAGACTATGGAATACTTTATAATTTGCAACGCTATATTGTTCCGAGTTGTTTGAGTAATTGACAGTGTATATTAATCTCAAGTGAAAACAGCAATATTTGCTCATTAATTTTACATCAATCAACTATTGGACGTTTCTTATTTAATGCAACTCAAAATGAATCATGCTTTTCTGTAGAATTAATCGCTCGCGGGTCATTCTTTTAGCATTATCCTTGGTGGTTATGGTTGTATATTCACAAATTGAGTTGTAACACACTGTTATGATATTCATATCTCTGGGTTTTTCGCTGCTTTCAAATAGGCTACCCTGACTTTGGTTCATTAGATGTATTGGCTATTTACCGAAGTTATGTCATTGTGTTTTCTAGCGAACTAAAATGTTTGTCATGTTCTGTTAGTTTGTCTATAACCCAACATGCATCTGTTTTTATGCTTCGGTGAACACATCATTTTTAAAGTATTGCTTTTATCTACAAACAGGAGGTACTTGTACTTACCCAGGATGCATTATATCCCATCTGATGATTGGTGGAGAATATCACATGATCAGTGCAAGCATTTGGAATTGGTGGGGACTTATAAAAAAATACCCGGCATAAATTCCATCATGATTTAGCAATCTAAAACATTCTAGGGGATCTATGAATAAAGAATTGTTTTCTTCTAAATGCCATGTGTCAAGTGAACCACTTTGTATCAAGTTGTGTTCTTCATTTTTAACTAAGCCACACTTGAAGTAAAACTTGACTTCTTTTATACGTTCTTAAAGTTCAACAAAAGCTTAACATTGACAAACATTATACTTCTGATAGAGAACATGACTCGGAAAATACAACAGCTTTTGAATAAATGTTGCAATTCTTGGATTATTGCTCCAGTAGAGTACAAACATTTTAAGTCATTAATATCATTTACTTGTTACTATGACAACTGTTTCCGACAATTTTGATATTGATGGGCTAAGAGGAGATCACTGGTGTATTAAATTATAGGGTATCTTGCTTACCCTACTATCACACCAAACTAGTTCTCACTACGTTCTCGAAAACGGGCTTCAACTGTGTACGAACGGACTGGACCTACTTAGAACCGTTTGGGATCTATTTACAAACTTCATCGAACGTACTCGAACGGGTAGGTCCTCTGGAACTTAGAGAATGCTCAAAATGTTCTCGTGGTCGTCACGTTCTACAATTAGAACAAGTGACAACGTACTAACGACGAGCTGGACGTACTACGAACGGAACCGTCGTACTTCAATCCTACTAGGGACGTTTTAACAACGAGTTGAACTGTCTGGGGACGTGTTGAGAACGAGGTAGAACTAATTGCAAACGTGTTTAAACTGATTAAGAACGTATTCAACACTGTTTATGAACGAGTTAGCAAAAATATAGCTATCACACCAAACAAGTTGCCACTGCGTTCTTCAAAACTGGTTTTAAACTGTGTGCGAACGGAATGAACGTAGCTGCAACTTTCGAAGGTCTATTTACGAACTTTATGAACGTTCTCAGACGGGAATGTGATTTTAGAATTTTGAATCGATTCAAAATTCGATGGCGACCATACCGTTCTGTAATCAGGTCATGTTGACCTTCTAAACTAAGGGACGCGTTCTACTACGTTGCACACCGACGTGGTCCGACCTGAACGGATTGCGAACGAGATGGACGTATTGAAGACTGTTTAAGAACGAAGAAGCTAATTATTTCAGACATATTTCCCGATCACAGCCAGATTGAGCCCGTTTTACGACGTTTTCGTAGGACTGGTAAGAACGGGTAAGAACTAGTTTGGTGTGATAGGGGGGTTATAAAAGATTTTAAGAATATTGTATAAAAAGTATTTCTTTTCAGTATCAATATTTTAAGAAATGGATCAAATTCTTAAAAGCTTTATTCTCAAGTGGCAAAATGGGAAAAATTATATGTAAGAAAAAAAAATGATGAAGCGTTATGAAAGGGTATGCATCTTTGGTTTTCCTCAGAGTCTAATTCAACTGTAGACAGATCTTCGCTCTAATTTGCCGTCAGTCTTACTCCTGGTTTCTTTATTATACCCATGGTGAATATAAGTCAACCGAAAGATTGATTCTGCCGTCATTTTATGCCACCATAGTCAGCTTTTACTACCGTCTTTTCAATAACTAACTCAGTATGCGTATGTAATCATATTTTTGTTACAATAAAATTATTAGTTATACGACCATTTGGAAATTGTTTTTGACACATTGCGATAGTGGTCATTTTATCTTGCTAAAGCAATCACCACGGTAATGTAATTTTACAACTTGTTTTTATGATATTCCTTGACCAGCGCATTAATCTGGCTAGACTGATGTTATTATTAGATTAGTAGCATTCATGAGACGACATTTTTTGACGCGGAAATATATCTTGGACATTTTATCTGTGATTAACCATCTCTCGGTGGATTAGAGATATTCGGAAGACACTTTTGTTTTATAGATTAACATATTTATCTTTCTGAGAAAATCGTGGTCTTTAATTGGATGAGCAACTTTTAGTCTCTTACTTTTCAGAAAATACTTTGAGACATTGGAATCTGTGCCTTGATCCCCTTAATATGTGTCTTAATGTGTGTCTTTTATATTGAGGCCATTTAGTATGAGTGTCTTTATATTTATTGATTGGACTTTTTGGAAAACATTCTATTACAAATTAGGAAATATGATATTTTTCAAAATTTTGTAATGAAATAAAAAATAATGACTATGAAGCTTGACTTTTTATAATTAGACATAAACAATCATAAAGTGAAATACTATATAATTACAGCCAATATATAATTATGAGAACAAAAATAACTCTTGTTGAAAGACCACAGTTATAATTACATCCACTAAATCAATACAACAGGCTTATAGAAAATAAAACAAGGTGTAGGATATAATCAAATCTTATTATCCATAAGTACCGATTAATCTTCAGGGCTGAGTGGAACTCCATAGGGCTTGCCTGGACTTCAGATACACAACTGTTCATGCTTATTTTGCATCATTTCTCTCTCAAATTTGAATGAAGTGTCTCATTTTTTTACATTTTCGTACAATATAGAGTGTGAACAACATGTATATTAAAGTTATTCCTTGCTGAAAGCATTCATTTTCTAATAATTTTGCATTTTGAAATATGATAACATTTGGTGTTTCATCAAATTGTTCATTCAGTATAAATCATACCCAGACCTAATATTTAAAGGTGTGTATTGGAGCTGTATATAATTACTACAGGTAGTAATATGAATAATGGGGGCGATAGTAATATTATTGGTTAGTAGAAGTCCGTGATTAGCGATACAAGTGGATGTTGAAGACCCCTTGAGAACAATCGAACCCTCGTCCACTAATATACTATTGTTACCTATTGATCATATTATACATGCGGTAGTTAAGTTAATGTAGTATGGAGTGATTAAAGTTTCGCTGAATACGCACTTTTGCTGTGGTATCAAAAAAAGTGACAAGCCCTAAGGCTTAGATTGCTTGAAAGGATGTTTACCTAATAAATGTTACTTATTTTTTGAGTCTTTGTAAATGTGTTAGATGTTTTACTTTGTTGATTTAGAGATTGTGGAAGTAGACATTTGAATACCTTAACAGTTGAAAAGTGCATCAAAGACTCAAGGATTTTTATATATCTTTATATACCAGTTTCCCCTCAAATGCCTGTTTATGAATGATTGTTCCGCAGGAGACAAAGGATGCTATGCATTGATGCAGTGCCATGCCAAAAACAATCAAACAATCCATAGAACGGTGTAAACATTTCCGGTAAATACCAATGGACAAAAATGGAAGTTCAAGCCGTGTGAATAAACCAACGATGAGCCAAGAGGTTGAAAGGTTTACGTCGTAAAACTTCCTGAATGAATTTTTTACTCGTACCTCTACCATATAATTGATTTGAGCATCTGAATTTATGCGGAATTTATTTTTCACTATACGAGGTTGGAGTATGACAAGCAGTAAAAATTTTGGCCTCAG